GAAAAATTTAAGGGGGTCTGAATACTTTCCGTACCCATTTTATATATATATATATATATATATATATATTTCTATTTAGTATTATTATTTTTTTATTTATTTCAGTGTTAGTAATTTTGATACTTCAATTTTATATATATATATATATATATATATATAAATTACTTCAGCTTTTTTTCAATGAACAAAAATGATTTTTAATGGTATTAGATAAAACCTCCAGAAAACCAAATAATTTTAATTTGTTTAGTTTTCAGTAGTTTTGCTATGTGCTTTTGTCTTTTTATTAGTTTTTTGGGTTTTTTTTAACGATCAATGCATTCCCGCTCATTGCACACCTCAGTCTCTATGTCAGAGTCGGCTTCTTCCTCCTCGTCTCGCTCCAGCTCAATCACGCAGTCCGAGTCTTCCAGCTCTTCTGCGCTCTGCGGACTGGACCTCACACGAGACCTGTTCAAACCCTCCGCTGCCACTCTCGGGCTTCTCTTCACTGAATCAACATGATTCGCAGCTCTCACAGATTTGCCAGACTGACTGCTTGAACTGACCTTCCCTGCTGGGCTTTTTGAAGGAGAAGCGAAGTACTTGTAAGTTGTTTTGAGGCAATGCACCAAATACTCAAACATCATCTGACTATTCAACATCCGGGCCACGTTCCTCTGGACGGCGAATGGATCTGAGAAGAAAACAAAGATCTGTTTCATATCTAGACATATAAAAATAACTAGCTCACATGACGCGATGCACACCTTCTATTGCAATCCTCTTTTTGGGCCAGTCTTTCAGATCGCGCCACAGGTCACCGTTTGTGCGCACGCTAATGACTTTCTCAGGTATTTGAAATTCCAGTGAATAATATCGTAATAGCTCGATCCACAGCTTCCCTAGCAGCACACAAGCACTGCGGCCATTGAAAACCAGCGGACACTATTGAAGAAAACACAAATCACAACTCATAATTTTGTTCAAATACTTTTTGGCCCGACCTCAAAGTTGTCTTCAAATCAAACGCTGTGACGTACAGATCAGGAATAAGAGGCTCACCTTTCCCTTCTTGACAGCTTTATCTTGGGACGAGTCGCTTGAGGTTTGATCATATACCCAAAGCACATGTCCTTTTTCAACCCCAGTTAAGGAGAAACTCTTCAGTTTACTCACGTGCAAACCCTAAAACAGAACACAACATCAGTCTCTGCCGCTTAAAATTTGCTGTTAATTAACGCAGATGTAGGTGACTTTTTTTATTCAGTAAAACAGTAAAGAAGATTTTTATTAAGTCAGCAGCTTTTGAAAAAAAAAAAAAGCATATCAGGCAACACAAAATGAATACTCCTGATGACACATTGAGTTCTTATGAAGCGAAACGATCAGTCGGTGCAAGAAACTGAACATTATTTACAACATTACCTGTATATTTACACAATTACATTATTAAAGCACCCAATAATGATGTGAAACGTGGATGTTTTGCACGTCTACAGCATATAAAGTGAATAAACTAGTCTTAATCAACAATGAGAAACCATAAAAACGTTCATTTCACCCCTTTATTCAAGCTCTGGATTACAGGTAATAATGTTGTAAATAATGTTCAGTTTCTTGCACAGACTGATCGTTTCGCTTCACAAGACATCAATATATAGTGAGGAGCCTCGGGTATTAATTTTGTGTTCTCTGATATGCTTTTGTGACTCTCAAAGTGACAGTCGCTGCTGACTTGCACTTTATGAATCCCCAAGGACCACGGTTTCAGCGAATCTTCGATGCCTGAGGGTGAGTGAATTATCAGCAAATTTCATTTTTTGGGTGAACTATCCCTTCAAGTTTTGCCTCTCATTGGTGTAAATCCCATATTGTTGTTTACTACAAGGCTCTCTGAAATACTTGCATGTGATTGGTCAACTGCAGTATTCTGTTAATGATTGTACAGATCATTAAACTGTAACAATTACAATTTAATTTCAGCTTCAAATGTAATTTTCTCATATTTATTCACTGATTCGGCGAGTAGATGTGTAGTAAGTGTGTTCATTCCTGCATTAGCGTCTTGGTCCTAATCACCGTGTCAGGGTTGTGTTTTGCTATAATGGCCATCTGACTGCACATTATCTCATGTTACCTCTTCATAAGGTTCCAGATGCAATAATCAGGCATTGGCCCTATAAACTTTTATCAACTGTTGCATTAATGTTGAATCACACACCACAGATTCTAGGTATGACGGTAAGACGGGTTCTTTGCATCGCTGCAGGAAGCTGATGACCATGAGGGCAAAGCAGTAGGATGGAAGTCCACCTTCTTCCATCTGGTCCACACAACAGGTCTAATTCACACACACACACACACACAAATATCACGAATGTTAAGAAATAAAGGAATCCTAATGAGACAAATATTGTTTTTTTTTACCCTACATACTATCTTCTGAATTAAATGGCAGTCTCACCTTAGCCCAGTATCTAAAGCATACGACCAGCGGGACGAGTTGTGGTTCTAGATTCGCCAGCTCAGCCAAATATGCTGTTGTCAAGCATGCACTTTCATTGCCTGCGCTGACTTTGCAGATCAGACCACTTTGGAGATTAAAAAAAAAAAAGTAAATACATAATGTGCGTGTGTGTGCGTGCGTGCGTGTGTATAAGTTTATGTTTTAATGTTTGGCCCCACTTTATATTAAGTGGCCTTAACTACTATGTACTTACATCAAAAATTAATACAATGTACTTATTGTGTTCATATTGTATTGCAAAACACTTTTGCTGCTATTGAGGTGGGATATGGGTAAGGTTAGGGACAGGTTTGTTGGTATGGGTAGGTTTAAGGGTGGGGGGTTAAGGTGTAAGGGATGGGTCAACTGTGTAATTATAAATGTAATTACAGAAATTAATTACAGAGCCAAATTCTCTGGGCGGGCAAAGCAGAGAAAGGGGAGGTAACCTTTCCCCGTATGACGACATAAAGGGAAGATTCCAGATTGGGCCATCTGAGCTTTCATTTTCTCAAAGGCAAAGCAGGATACCCAGGGCTCGGTTTACACCTATCGCCATTTCTAGCCACTGGGGGACCATAGGCAGGCTAGGGGAACTCATATTAATGTTAAAAAACCTCATAAAGTGACATTTTCATGCCATGGGACCTTTAAATATTAATAATAATAAAAGTTTTTTTAGCAGCAAATCAGCATATTAGAATGATTTCTGAAGGATCATGTGACACTGAAGACTGGAGGAATGATGCTGAAAATTCAGCTTTGAAATCACAGAAATAAATTATATTTTACAATATATTCACATAGAAAGCAGTTATTTTAAATAGTAAAAATATTTCACAATATTACTGCTTTTGCTGTATTTTGGATCAAATAAATGCAGGCTTGGTGAGCAGAAGAGATGAATTAAAAAAAAACATTAAAAATCTTACTGTTCAAAAACTTCTGACTGGTAGTGTACATGTCTTTACTGTCACTTTTGATCAATTTAATTAATGTATGCTTGTTGAATAAAAGTATTAATTTCTTTAAAAATATAAAAATACCTTACTGACCCCCAACATTTAAATGGCAAACTATACACATACATTAGAAGCATGCAACTTCATATATACACTTTGCAAAAGAACAATAAGCAAGGAAACACAGACCTTGATTTCTCTTTGCACACGACTACAGGCATCCTCCTGTGGAAGTCTCCCTCCACACTGACAAAAAGAGCTGCGAAAATGAAAATAAAAGTGTCAGAAAATGAAAATTTCATTCTGTATTGGTGGTGCTTTATTGTAAATGTTTATAAAGTATGCTAAATAGTATAAATGTATGATATTACAATCATACTGCTTATCAGCATAGGGAAAAAAAACTCTATACTCTATAGCCTGCTCTTTTCTCACCACAGCCAATGAAAGCACTGTTCCTTACTAATGTACCTGAGGAGTCTATGCTTTTTTCACTTTACTATTCCCCACTGCTTTTCAACCTTTCAACTCACCACTTTTAGAGAGATGCTCTTGAGCCACAAGCAGAACATCAGGATGCTGGAACTGATGAGAGATGATTTTTTTCTTAATTACAAAACTTCACAATTGTGCATTTTTGCAAAAACATGCGACCAAACATTCTCAAAAACTGGACAACATTTGGTGTTTGACGAAAGGAATCTGATTAAAGGCTTTCAAATACATATGTGACCCTGGACCAGAAAACCAGTCATAAGGGTCAAATTTTTAAAATTGAGATGTATGCATCATCTGAAAGCTGAATAAATAAGCTCTCCATTGATGTATGGTTTGTTAGGACAGGACAATATTTGGCTGAGATACAACTATTTGAAAATCTGGAATCTGAGGGTGCAAAAAAATCAAAATATTGAGAAAATCATCTTTAAAGTTGTCCAAATGAAGTTCTTAGCAATGCATATTACTAATCAAAAATTAAGCTTTGATATATTTACGGTAGGAAATGTACAAAATATCTTCATGGAACATGATCTTTACTTAATATCCTAATGATTTTTGGCATAAAAGAAAAATCGATAATTTTGACCCATACAATGTATTGTTGGCTATTGCTACAAATATATCCCAGCGACTTAAGACTGCTTTTGTGCTCCAGGGTCACAAATGCCATAGTTCATGTGTTTGCTATCAAAGTATAAACACAGCTTATCCAAACGTCAGTGATAATTAGCCGTCTATCAGTGGTTTGAGCCAATAGTATCTCACCTTCTGAGAGGCATAGCCTTAATAATTGATATATTACTTTGTGATGCCTATAATGACTTAATGCTATAGTTTATCAACTGGTTTAAAATAAGGAAACTGATTAAATCAAAATGACCCATTTACATGTTAATATAAAGCCAGAATAAGATGTATTAAAAGAATATTTCCTTTCTACTCACATGGGATGGAAACTTCACATCAATGTTTACATCAGAGTCTTTGAAGCCAAACTTTGTGCAGGAAGATCCGTATAACCTGAACTTGCAATCTGCAGGGGAAGCGTGAATACAAATGCATTGAGGAGGCATCAAATAAAGCAGCATTGAATTTACCGCTGTGCTGTCACACACCTGGAAGGACAGGCTGAAGGACTTTCTCAACGAGAGTGAGGATGTTTTGCCGTTGTTTCATATCCGGATCGTTTAAACCGAACTCAGCGACCACACTTTCCAGAGCTGAGCTGAGCGAATGACACTGGGCTTTTCCAGGAGGAGGGATGTTCAACAGCAGCGTCAGCTTCTGCAGCTCCTGTGAAGAGGAGACACACTTCAACCATAAACCACAGGCACAGATGTTTGAGCCTAATACTTTCATCATGATTCCTTGCCTTGGCTTTCTTCCTGTGGGCTCTTTCTCGGATGTGACTGAGCGCTGGTGACATGTCATCACAGTACACCTTACACTTATCACATCTGAACTTCAGGCTGATGCTTGACTGATAAAAACACAAAGAAAGAAACCAAATCAGATTATGTGAAGAAATCAGATCAATGTACACTACTTCTCAGAAGACTTTTTTGTGAACGGAATTCATTCTGTTATTCAGCAAGGATGCATTAAACTGATCAAAAGTGACAGTAAAACCATTTATAATGTTACAAAAGATTTCTAAAAATGACTAATAAATTTATAAAATTTCTATAAAATAAATTTGTATCACAGTTTTCCACAAAGATATGAATCAGCGCAGCTGTTTCCAACATTGATAATCAGAAATGATATATTAGAAGCATATTAGAATGATTTCTGAAGGATCATGTGACACTGAAGACTGGAGGAATGAAGTTTGATCACAGAAATAAATTACATTTTAACAGATATTCACACAGAAAACAGCTATTTGAAATTGTAATATTTCACAATTGTTGTTTTTACTGTATTTTTGATCAAATTTCTGCCTTGGTGAACAGAAAAAGACTTTTCTTTCTGACCTGAAACTTTTGAAAGCTAGTGTGTTTAGCTGCTGTATTGCCGATATGCTACGGTAATAAAAGTGCCGCATTAATAATTGTAAATATGTATTATTGTACCATATAAACATTATGGTACATACATATGGTATTCCTTCAGCACCATGGTACCACCACAGAAGTGTTTTAAAACACTTTGAGAGTATCGCTTTTCTAAATCATGACATTTTGCCCAGAATACTTTTTTAAGTGCTTAAAAGAATAGTTCACCCATAAATGAAAATTTACTCCTGAGGCCATGCAAGATGTAGACGAGTTTGTTTCTTCATCAGATTTGGAGAAATGCAGCATTGCATCAGTGTCTCAGCAATGGAATCAATGTTTACATCAGAGTCTTTGAAGCCAAACTTTGTGCAGGAAGATCCGTATAACCTGAACTTGCAATCTGCAGGGGAAGCGTGAATACAAATGCATTGAGGAGGCATCAAATAAAGCAGCATTGAATTTACCGCTGTGCTGTCACACACCTGGAAGGACAGGCTGAAGGACTTTCTCAACGAGAGTGAGGATGTTTTGCCGTTGTTTCATATCCGGATCGTTTAAACCGAACTCAGCGACCACACTTTCCAGAGCTGAGCTGAGCGAATGACACTGGGCTTTTCCAGGAGGAGGGATGTTCAACAGCAGCGTCAGCTTCTGCAGCTCCTGTGAAGAGGAGACACACTTCAACCATAAACCACAGGCACAGATGTTTGAGCCTAATACTTTCATCATGATTCCTTGCCTTGGCTTTCTTCCTGTGGGCTCTTTCTCGGATGTGACTGAGCGCTGGTGACATGTCATCACAGTACACCTTACACTTATCACATCTGAACTTCAGGCTGATGCTTGACTGATAAAAACACAAAGAAAGAAACCAAATCAGATTATGTGAAGAAATCAGATCAATGTACACTACTTCTCAGAAGACTTTTTTGTGAACGGAATTCATTCTGTTATTCAGCAAGGATGCATTAAACTGATCAAAAGTGACAGTAAAACCATTTATAATGTTACAAAAGATTTCTAAAAATGACTAATAAATTTATAAAATTTCTATAAAATAAATTTGTATCACAGTTTTCCACAAAGATATGAATCAGCGCAGCTGTTTCCAACATTGATAATCAGAAATGATATATTAGAAGCATATTAGAATGATTTCTGAAGGATCATGTGACACTGAAGACTGGAGGAATGAAGTTTGATCACAGAAATAAATTACATTTTAACAGATATTCACACAGAAAACAGCTATTTGAAATTGTAATATTTCACAATTGTTGTTTTTACTGTATTTTTGATCAAATTTCTGCCTTGGTGAACAGAAAAAGACTTTTCTTTCTGACCTGAAACTTTTGAAAGCTAGTGTGTTTAGCTGCTGTATTGCCGATATGCTACGGTAATAAAAGTGCCGCATTAATAATTGTAAATATGTATTATTGTACCATATAAACATTATGGTACATACATATGGTATTCCTTCAGCACCATGGTACCACCACAGAAGTGTTTTAAAACACTTTGAGAGTATCGCTTTTCTAAATCATGACATTTTGCCCAGAATACTTTTTTAAGTGCTTAAAAGAATAGTTCACCCATAAATGAAAATTTACTCCTGAGGCCATGCAAGATGTAGACGAGTTTGTTTCTTCATCAGATTTGGAGAAATGCAGCATTGCATCAGTGTCTCAGCAATGGATGCTCTGCAGTGAATGGGTGCCGTCAGAATGAGAGTCCAGACAGCTGCTAAAAACATCACAATAATCCACACCACTCTAGTCCATCAGTTAACATCTTGTGAAGTGAAAAGATGCGTGTGTTTGTAACAAACAAATCCATCAAGACATTTTCATTTTTAAAATGTCACTTCTGGCCTAAATACGAATCCATAATCCATAATCACGTTCCAAAGACTGCTGTCCTGTTGTCGCTCACATCAAAATCCACCCACATGTTTGTTTAGAGCTGTTTTGGCTTGTAAACGGCGCTTGATCTGTGCAGATTTCTCTCCTGATTCAGATGAGATGACATTTTCCCTTGAGAAAGCAATATTATGGACAGTGGACTCGTATTTTAGCTGGAAGCAATTAAAAACGTCATAATGCTGGATTTGTTTCTTACAAACATGCAACTTTTGGCTTCTCCAGATGTTAACTGATGCACTGGAGTGCTGTGGATTACTTGTGGATTATTGTGATGTTTTTATCAGCTGTTTGGACTCTCATTCTGATGGCACCCATTCACATCCATTGGTGAGCAAGTGATGCAATGCTACATTTCTCCAAATCTGATGAAGAAACAAACTCATCCTAATCTTGGATGGCCTGAGGGTGAGCACATTTTCAGCACATTTTCATTTTTGGGTGAATTATTTCTTTAACTGGTCACAGTCTATAACTTACAAACCTCTTTAAGGTCACAGTCACTGCCTTCTGCTTCCAAGCACAGCTGTAAAACGTCCCGTCTAGTGAGACAGCTTTCAATCCGGACAATCCTGCTCTTCTCCCTCCAGCTCTGCACGCTGCCTGACAGACAAACGTGATCTAGACAGATATTAGCTCCGCTTTTAACCCCACTGTTTCATTGGGTGACAGGTTATTCGTGCGTTTTACCGAGCTTGTCGTGTTTCTGTCCATCTCGCTGTCGTTCTCTCCAGTTCCTCCGGTCAGCAGGTGAACCCCTCTGGATTCGGTCCTTGTGAGAAGGACTCGGTCCGAACACTCGTCCCTCAGGAGAGCTGCACGACAGTGAGGCTTTGGCTCTTCTGCTCCCCTCACTTTCAGAGGTTCGACCGTGAGCCCGCTTCTTCGTTTTAGGACTGTAACTGCGCTCACTGTCCCGTCCCAACGGGCTCCGCCAGCTCTCAGCTTCATCGGCTTCCTTCTGTCTCCTGTATCGCGGAGAAAACTTCCTGTTTCCCTTCTCAGCCATCGTGGATCTGGATGGGAACCAAGATCAATATGAAGAAATAAGAATATAATCGGAATGTGAAATCTCAGTCACTAAAATCAGCCTCTTTGATTATGAGGATTCACAAAAACAATACAGTGATCATATTTGCTGAATGAAATCAGATACTAATTTTGGGAGGTTGATTCCAAAAAATAGTGCCTGTTTTGCTCTAGATACCATGTCACACTTAATAACAAAATATGACGGATTTCATAGCAATTTTGCTTTTGACAGCCATTTGAAAAGTGAAAAGGTCTGGAATCATCACGTAATCAGCAGAACAGCTGAAAAGGCATGATTCCGGTCTTCTTCTGAGCCAAATTACAACTAGGCTATTTGCGATTTTCACATGCATGGATGATTCTGATGACATTTTATGCCTAATCCTGAAGGGAGGAATTATTGCCATTGCCAGAGGTCTCTTGAGGCGTTGCCACAGTTCTTCTCAGTTTCTTCATGTGATGGAACTGGAGGATGATGCTGAGATCAGCTCTCTGTGTGCAGCACTGGCTGCTGACGGTCATATACAAATCTCACTGGATTATTACAATTACTGCTAAAATTAATGTTTGGACATGTAAACTGATATTTCCTACTGACACACTACAGCTAAAGACAGAAACAACTGGCTTAAAACCATTTTAGTTGGAGAAAATACTAATGGCCTAAGACTTTTCCACAGTACGGTGTATATATAAGTCCCAAAGAATAGCTGAAATTCCCATTATGCACACATTTTGACCGTGAGAATCATTTATATGGATCACAGAAACATATCGCGCAGTATTTCTCCAGATTCTGACCCAAACTCACTTCCTCCGGCAGTTCCTCGTCTGAAACGAGTAAGAGCATAAAAATAAACCACTCGGCTTTTAATCGAGCCTAAATAAAGTGCGAGTTCAATACTCTGCTTTTTAAGTGACAAACAATCTTAAAAATCGCTGTTAATTTCTCATACGATGTGTATAGCTGTTTGCATCCTGCACTTCCGGGTCCCACGTGACGTCAAAATAAACAGTCTCCTCGTGATTTAAAGCGGCACTGCTTATTTCCCGTAGAAATCCCTTTACAATATTAAACCTTGTTTCTTTTATCTCTAAAATCAATTTCCGATCTGCGGATCTTGTATTTCGCTGAAACATGCTGCATACTCGCAGAACCAGGGTTGCCAGATCTGCGTAGCTAAACTAACCCAATGACCAATTAAACTAAACACAATACCAAAATTCAAAGACGCCCCTCCCAAACCTAAAATACATATTTTATGCAGTTATCCAACATTTTAAAAGTAAACCAATGCTGCAGGAAAACCTCAGACCTGGCAACACAAGACAGAATGGAGGCTTAGGTAAAACTTGTTTGAAATCAAGAGAAAATGGTAATACTACACTCCAAAAAACGAACGAATACTTACATATGTCGACATACTTGTATCAATTTCCATAATGCATGTTTATTTTATCTTCAAAATATCAGCTGTTTTCAGGAATAAACACTGCAGTGATTGTAGTACATTTTATTTATTTGCTTGTATCACAGTATTCGATCCATTCAGCTACTAATAAGACACGTTTACATTAGTAAAACATGGAATGTTTTGGAAAACAATTCAAATACAATTTTACAAGCATTAAGGCACAGCAGAATTCAAATACAAGGGTCAGTAAAACAAAATAAAAAAAAGTTAGGCAACAATGACAACCATTTGCTAGAGAATTAGAATTAGAATCTAAGAGAATTAGATTTTTGTTACATTACATTCATTTGCTACAACTTGTTGCAAGAAATGCAGCCAATCTGTTAGTGTCACTCCAGTTTAAAGGTGCAAGTAAAAACTACTACTTGCAAAAAAGGCTTTTACGCTAACGGTGATTCTTAAGGAATTCTTCCATGTATGCGGCAAGAGCCTTCACATCTTCAACAGTCACGGCATTGTACAGGGAAGCCCGGATGCCACCCACTGACCTGAAAATACACCGCGAAGCAATCATGAGGCAGGATACAGAATCTAATTACTTTTTTAAAAATATTTTTTCATTTTTTAGGACACACTGAAATGACAGCAAGCATGTGGTTACTGAAACATAACATTATATTCATTTTGACTAATTAGATATTTTCATTTCTTCTCAACGGATTAGACATATTTACCTTAACCAAGTCAAAAACTGTCAAAATGATTAACATCATTTAAACATCAAACATCATGTTTGCTACTGCAATTCAAATTAAGACGGAATCGTATTTGAAAAGTCATTCTCTATACATTTCTGAGTGGCGCATAACTGTGTATAAGACAAATCACATTTTATCACTGAATTTTATCAACCGAAAATGAAAATGTGCTGAAAATGTGCTCACCCTCAGGCCATCCATAATGTAGAGGAGTTTGTTTCTTCATCAGATTTGGAGAAATGTAGCATTGCATCACTTGCTCACCAATGGATGTGAATGGGTGCCGTCAGAATGAGAGTCCAAATAGCGGATAAAAACATCCACAAGTAATCCACGCCACTCCAGTTCATCAGTTAATGTCTCGAGAAGTGAAAAGATGCACGTTTGTAAGAAACAAATCCATTAAGACGTTCTTATCTTCAAACTGTTGCTTTTTGCTAAAATACAAGGAAGTGTTATTATTATAGATTATGGACTGAAGTTAAAATGCCTTAATGATGGATTTGTTTAGAAACATGCAGCTTTTGGCTTCTCAAGACATTAACTGATGGACTGGAGTGCTGTGGATTACTGTGATGTTTTTATCAGCTGTTTGGACTCTCATTCTGACGGCACCCATTCACTGCAGAGCATCCAT